GCCCTTACAAGAAATTTTATTTAGCTATTAATGCTTTTTTTTTCTATCGTGAACGCGATTATAAGGAATTATTTAATTATTATTATTATTTAATAATAAAAATGGAAAAAAAAAAATAAAACTTCTTACCTTATTAAAGCTCTCTTCGTCCTTTATAAACAGGGTGAAGTTCTCCTTTTCAATCCATTCTCTCAAAGTGATCGGTGGAGATCTTCGGCTCTAGGTATTTTATTTTATTTTATTTTTGAAAATATTTGATTGCTATTTTAGTTTGTTTGATACTTCATTATGTTTTTCTTATTAATTAAAAATGGGATGTGATTCATGCTTTAGATTCGATTAATTATACTTAACTTTGTAACTTGACATGTAAATTAGTACATCCGTTTGATTATATTCATGAGATCATGCCTCTACATATTAATTTAGGTTTTTTTATTGGTGTTAATTTATTTGTTTGGATCATATCATTAAATTTTTTAAACACTATTCGATGATTTTAGTGAGATTCATATCTTCATATATTTAAATTAGACTTTTGTTAAAGCTAATATTATTTTTTTCAAAAATAATATCGAAATAATTTTTTGTCTTGAAATCCTATATAATATTATTTATGTGTTCACATTACAAATTAATCAAAAAATAATTCAAATTCGATTACGGATGACTGTTGGGTATAGTTGTATCTAGCTCGAGTCAAATCAATCAATTAAGGTTCGTCGGACCCAACTCAAATTAGGTGGAGTTCGACATGGATCGACCTAGTGCTTGTGAACAAACTAATCGACATGGTTAGGTCTAGTGAGTTCAAGTTAATCGAGAGTGATTCCAACTCAACTTTAATATTTTTATATTTTTTGATTGAATTAAGTCAATTCAATGTGATTTGAGATGATTTCCATCGGTCTTAAATGGTCTCAATTTAATTCGAACGGGATTCGAATAATTTCGATCAAATTTGGGTTTTGATGATTTTTTATCAATCCAAATTGGCTCATATTGAGTTAGGTCAATTTCGAGGGTGGTGTGGTGTGCTGAATTTTTTTTACTTTGTTTGGTGTCGTATGATGCTATGGACCCGTGCAAAGCTACCATAACATAATAATATATATAAAAAGATATTTATTTTGATACCGACAATAACTATCGGATTTAGTTTGATGTTAATTTCACTGAACCTAAATTACTAATAAAAAAATATGTAAGATAAAAAATAATTATTATTATTATAGCTTACTTTGGACGTACGACTAATGGAAGGATTATAAATGCGTGTGATACACTTGTTGATGATTTAACATCCTATCATTTACCCAAACCTTATTCCTTTACCATTGGCATTGAATGCTTAGTAAAAGCTAAAGACCATAGATGACATCCGATTGGAGAGGCCATTTCCTTGAGTTCTACGTAATGTTTTACGTAATGTCAGCTGTTGATGTGAGTTCTACGTAATGTTTTAAGCTAACAATACCCACCACCCACGTAGAAAACGGTGGTTGTTCCATGTCATGCTTTCTCTCGGTCCAACATTTAGATTGTATAAAGATTCATAAAAAAATATATCTGTACTCGTATGGTTTTATTCTTTTCAAACTTATAAGTCTCAAAATACTGTTCATCACTTTTTGATCGAAAAAAAAGTTTCCGCATTCAAATCTGAATTATTAAACTATAATTTATAAGTGCTAATTGTTCCATTTTAATCTTAATTTTTTCATTATTTTCAGTCGATTTGTAATAGATCTCATCATGATTTCGATTCTTATTTTTTTAAATTAAAAAATTAAATAAAAATATTTTAGAAAATCATGAATAATCGATTTGAAATAAGCAAATCAATTCCGATCTTTTTTATCGATTCAATTTTGATTCAAATTAAATGGTGACGAAGCTGATCTAAAACCATTCATATACCAACAGAATTAGAAGAATAGAGGAAAAGATGCCACTTCTAACTATATTAACTATACGTGGATATGTATGTCTGATGAGATATGAAGCAAAGTGAACACGGAAAAGAAAAGAAGAGCGAGAAAGATTTGGATTCACTCCATCGCAGCAGCGGACCGGCCTCGTATAAAGGGTAAAGTGGGCGGCTCCTTTCCGGTTTCCAGCGACCAAACAAGGCAAGAAAGACAGGTCGAGCCCCGTCGCCATCCCCCGCATTATAGCTTTTTAGTCGGCAGCGAACATGGCAGAGGAGAAGGAGAAGAAGAAGAAGAAGAAGAAGAAACACAAGCACGATGACCAGAAGAATGATCAGCAAAAGCCTGCGTCGGACGCTCACTTCAAGCCGAGCGCCGACGTCAAGGGCATCCGCTTCGGCGCCCAATTCGTGGTCAAGTCCTTCACCGTCCGGCAGGCGGCGCCGCTCGAGCTGCTGCGGCTTCTGGACATCCCGCCTTCCTGCCTCAGCCAACGCCAGAGCCTTCCCTTCCTTTCCACCACCACGTACCTGCCCACCAACTTCACCATCCTGGCTCATCATGCATGGCACACGCTCACCCTCGGCCTGGGCACCAACAAGTCCAAGGTGGTGATCTTCGTGTTCGAGTCGGAGAGCATGAAGCTGGCGGTGGACCAGCTGTGGCCGCGCATGATCCCGCTGGGGGACGTCAACAAGAAGCTCATCCGGGGGCTCTCCGGCTGCGAGATGTCGAGGTTCAAGTTCCGGAAAGGGTGCCTGACGTTCTACGTGTACGCCCTGCGGCGGCTGGGAGCTACCGGCTTCTCGTGCGCCGATGACCTAAGAAGAATTCTCGAGGCGGTCGTGGCCCTCAAGGATTTCTTGGACCACACCGCCATGCTCGCCCTGCCCACCCAGCGAAGCATCACCTTCCCCAATCCACCTGCAATGGCACGCTGAGATCTGTTCCTTCTTTATTCCATGTCTTTCGATTCTTTGATGGCAACATAGTTTTTGCTCCTCCCTTCTTTGTTCCGTCGACAATGGAATTACTTTTGACATGTTGAGATCATCTAATTCTTTCTAACACAACCCTTTTTCTCGATCTTAACTGTACAAAAAGTTCTTGTTTCATCCATTGTGCTTCTGTGGGAAACCGGAACCGCGTGTCTCTCTCGAAGGCAGACGGACAGATCCATCAACTGCATCGTCGAGTTATATCCGCATGCTTTCATGTTCGACTCCTTCCCCGGTGCTTTCACCAAGGGAAGAAGAAGCTGATCATGACCACCGGAGGTGGTGGGTTGGATGGATGATGACAGGTGGTGGTGGCCTTTTTCTTTTTCGCAAAGAGAGGAAGGAAAGGGCCCCCACAAGTCTCGCTCTTCCTCTTCTTTAAGCTTGATCTGCTCATCGCATCTTTGTTCGATGGCAAATGGACCCATCCTTGGCCTCCTTCGCAGTGCCTTCTTCATCATTACCCCACCACACTTGATGCAGAAGCCTCAGCTTTGGTGCTGCCACCTTATGCGTGCAAGTGACAGGATTAGTGAGGTTGTATAATGTACCTAAAAATAGCTAAAATAATCTCATTTAGCAGATAACTTTGCTGCATGTTGTTCCAGCCAAGAGAGCAGCTTCATCAGTTGCACAAGGAAGTCTAATTATTTATGGTTGCTGGAAATTAATAGATGTATCATGACAAGCACATCTCTTTTGCCATCCAATTGATTGAGTGGTGTCTCAGACCAAGAACAAATCAGCTGTTGATCTTGAATAAGCCCTGCTCATGTTTGTGGCAAGCATGTTTCATCATGTTGATAGCAGACAGTCAAATATTTCAATTTAGAACGTTGGGTGATGGAGAATACAGACAATGAAACAGATAGATATCAAGGTAGGCCCCCCCCCACCCTTTTTTTTTCTTTTGAAAAATGTCAATAATGAAAGAAAATAATGTTTGCATATGATATGACTCAGCTGCAAACAGTGTCAATGCATAATAGAATAATGTCACTATTTTAATATAATTGAATAATTATCAAATAAATATTAATTACATGAAAGATGTCGACTAGCTTATCTCATAAAGACTTTACCAAATTATCACATATACTATTAAAATAAAAAATAAAAAATATAATTTATCAAAATAAAAAAAGAAAGAATAACAAGTGATACAATTTATCATATTGAAAAGAAGAGAATTATTCGTTGTTATGCTTATAAGCAGTGAGCAATTCAAATGGAAAAATATCAGAGAAAAATAACAACAATTTTTATATAAAAATATTATAAATAAATTATTCATATAGTTTTTAGAACCTTATTCAAGAAAATTATTGATATATATATATATATATATATATATATATATATATATATATATATATATTCGAAAAATTAATCCCCGCGCCCACCGCCCTCGGACCTCGACCAAACGCTCCGATGCGCCCCACTCCCGCATCCACCACCTTCGCCAAGCTTCTCCGCCTCCGCGGCCTCTGCCACGCGAGATTGCTCGATCAAGTTTCGAGCGTGGTGGACGAGTTCGAGGCCGCCCAATGCGGTCACGCGCACCACTTTGATCGATGGGTGCTGTAAAAAGAAGCAGCTTTGATGTGGCGGGGCGATTGTTCGATCGGACTAAGGAGCTTGATCGCTAATGAGTTCACTTACACCGTCATGATTAGCAGGTGATTCAGGAACGACTCCGGGAGTGGTCGGTTCGAGCTGAGTGATGAGATGAAGCGCGCGGGTGTCTTCACCGATCTTTCTTTACACGCATAAAGCTTTGATGTCCGGGGGTAGCAAGTACCAAGATTCGGGATGTGCGTTTAAAGTGTTCGACGAAATGTAGGAGACGGAAGTTTCACCCGACGTCGTGATGGGTAACGCTGGGATCGGTGGGTTTTGTAGGCAAAATAAAGGATCCGGAGAAGCTGTGGTGTGAGTCAAAGATGTTACTACGTTTAGGGTTTCTAAGAACTGTATATATCTCAGTTCCTAAGCATTTTGCCTTTCAGTAATGCGTAGCATCTTGAGATGGAAGAGAAAAAAAAATGCCTGGGAATTTTAGATTTGGAGATGATGAACGAATCATCGTAGACGATTGCAGCATATTCAATTACTGGGAACAGTTAGATCGAGGCAGTACAAATAGATAAACTGGGATTTCTTCTTCGGAAGAGAGGATGAAGGCAATAAAGACGAACAGATGAGTTATTGGCTTAAGCTTCAGGTTCCACGGTAGGTAGGGAGGTTCATCCTCACCGCCCATTCATGTCGGCCGGTGGCCACTGGCGACAGCCCACCTGCTCAAGGAACTTGCTCAGCCGCATATGCTTCGCAGCCCACTGATCCGCTAGTTTCTGTTCCTTTGCTTCCGCATCCTTCCTCAACCCCGCGATCTGCTCCTTGTACTCTGCTTCGACCCTCTCCAGCACCACCTGCTGCTCCTCCCTGAGTGCTCGCACTTTGGCCTCGATCTCCTCCATCTTCTCCCTCCTCTTGCAAGCCTTCTCCGACTCCAGCTGCAGCTCCAGCCTCTTCAGCCTCCATGCTGCTTCCTTCTTGTGCTCCATCCACGCTCGATGCCCTTCCTCTAACTCTCTGCAACAGTCGACCAGCTCCGACATCATGTTGCCGTCGACCGAACTGGCGAACCCCGGCACCACGCTGCGCTGAGAGGTTGTCAGCCCCAAACCACCGTTTCCTCCTCGCTCAGGCTGCGGCCAGGGCTTAGGAGCAGGAGGGACGGTGGAAGGTGAGAGTGTAAGTGTGACCGATGGCGACGGCGGCCTGCGGGAGCCGGCATTGTTCGACAGCCACGGTGGAAGGAATGGCGTGGCCATGAGCAGTGGGACGGCCCGCTGCTCCTTAACCAGCTTCTCGGCGAAGCTCTCGAGAATGCGGTCGTACTTGCCCGGCTCGGCGGTGGCGGCCCCGGACTTGTTGCTCTCTCTTTGCTCCCGCTGCTGCTTCTCCCTGAACACCTCCCACCACTTGCCCAGCCGCTTGGCTGTGCGTCCGGGGATCTCGGCCGCGATCTTCTTCCACTTGTTGCCGTGCTTGGCCTGCAGCCTTATCACCAGGCGCTGCTCCTCCTCGGTGAGCGATCCCTTCTTGATGCCGGGCTTGAGATAATTCTTCCACCTCTCCAAGCAGGATTTGGCGTCCCGGTCGAGGGTAACATTCATGCGCTGGGACACGAGGTGCCACTCCCTGGGACCATACTGCTTCACGTACGCACGCAATATAGCATCCTCTTCAGATCTCCACCGCTGCCTATCCTTCATTTGCAGTGGCCGACTCCCATCTCCTCTGGCGCCTCATAGCTTTCTGCCAAACATAAAACCATGAACAATGGCAATCCATGGAAGAAGACGACATCAGATACATCGACAAGTCATACGAATCTCGGGGTCTCTCGATAGAGTCAAGATATCGAGCACCCTGACGCTGCAGTGCCACCAAATAGAAATCTAGTGAAACTTAATGCCACAAACCATTTCATTGAAAGATCTCGAAGCACAAAAGATTGCCCGCTGGTTCGGAAGAATCCCAACGCATAGTACTTGCAGAATCTATGTGATTTTAGTCGTTAAATAATCCATTAACAATTATACGCCATATGATTAGAGTAGAGAAGCAAAGGTACAAAAACCTAATGATCGTTTGACCAAATCAATGAATAACGATAGATCACAAATCCAGCCAGATTCGACATTACCAACAAAACACTTCATAGAAGCTCGGTATCTTCAAAGACTCGACGCCAGTGATGACTTACGACGGTCTTCCAATGATGCCGATGGCTAGCAGCATCGATCCAAAGGGCAGAGCATAGCATGGCATAGCATAACCATGCAGCAGCAGCGAAATGGAAAGGGAATATTTGGCCAAGGGCGAACAAAGCGGGCTTCAAATATAAGGGAAGAGGAAGTTGAGACAGGGCGACGGGACAGCAACGTAAAGGAAACGCACGCGAACGGCAAAAAGACGAAAGGTGGTAAAGAAAGAGAGAGATGGGAAGAGAAAGGGTGAGGGGAGGAAGGTCGTCGGGGTAAAAGACTACTCACAACAGGGACAGTGGAGTGCGGTGGGCGCCGTGTCAATGTTTGAGCGAGGAACGTGATGCCATGATCATATTTGCACACGGCGGAAACCCATCCATTGATCTCACGGAAGATGTCTTTTACTTTACTGTTAAGGAGAAGGATAAAAAGAAAAGAAAAGATAAAGGTTTCCTGTCCCCAGAGAGAGAGAGAGAGAGAGAGAGAGAGAGAGAGAGAGG